TCTAAAAATCTCTGAATTGCCTTCACCGAATACATTTTTTTCCATGTGCTCTATATGTTATACACTTTAGGTATTCCTTCTTCAACATATGTTGAGGGGCTTTAAAAAAAACACTAGAATAAATTAAGATAGCCATAAATATAAACGCACACATTAAAATTTGCACAAAATTATCAACAAGCTCCTCTAGAAAAGTCTGTTCACCCTACGGCTTTCTATGGTTTCAGGCTTCCTCCCAGCCAATTCAGAGTTCTGGCAGAAGAATGTCAAAATCTGCTTCATCTCCTATTTAGCCTCTTCCTCACAACTGAATTTTGGAACTGGCTCACTCCTTTCCTACCCAAAACTCTGCAGACATCTGCCTTTTTACTTTGCAAATAACTGAGCAGGATTGTCACTCACAAATAATAAAAAGGGCAGTTTTAGGACTCGGATGCCTTAAGCTGAATGTAAAGAATTAGTTTCCTAATGCACTTACCTGCTCCCCAGGGCTGTGGGCTGCACCCAGGTGCTGCGCAAACCAGGACTCAAGGACAAACTAAGTAAAATCACACCTTCCTGGCATACAATTCCCTGGTGGATGTATCTGCAAAACAGCAGGAAGGGGTGGGAACAGAGAGCCACAAATGTCTTGGAAGAGCGCCAAAACTGCAGCCACACTTGAGTCAGGTAGCATCTTCCACCAGCTCCACTGAGTTTAGAAAACTCAGCTCCCCGCCCTCCTCCCTCCATCGCCAGCCCTGACCTCCCTTCTGGGCTTCCCTCTGTTCATCTCACAACCCACAGGACAGACCTGTCTCGAATCCAAACACGGAACTCTGCCCCACCCCTTCACGCTGTATTTTCTGTATCGGTTTATGGCACTAGCACCCACCCATCACCTCAAGGCAGACCTTGGAAATTATCCTTCTCCCAACATCTGGAGGCCGACTGAGACCTGTTGTTACCACTGAGCATCCTTCACACCCAGCCCTCTCCTATCCCGTGGCATCTTCACTGGACACTGTCTCCTAAATCAGCGGTCGCCAATTGGTGGTCCGTGAGGTCTGAAATGTTGGTGACCGCTGTCCTAAATCACCTCCCTGTCCCAATCCACCCTTTTCTCTGCCACTGGAATGAGCTCCTAAGCAGATCTGCCACAACATCCCTTTCCTAAAGCCTTTACATGCCTTCCCTAAAGCCTTTTCGTACAGAATGAAATCCCAGCTTCCAACACTGTGGCCTCACACAACTTGCATCACACTGGCCAGCAAACCTCCCCGCCCTGCTGTGCTGAGTTAACTCTCCAGAGCAGCGGTTCTCAACCTGTGGGTCGCGACCCCTTTGGCGGTTGAACAACCCTTTCACAGGAGTCGCCTAAGATCATCCTACATATCAGATATTTACATTATGATTCATAACAGTAGCAACATTACAGTTATGAAGTAGCAACGAAAATAATTTTATGGTTGGGTCACAACATGAGGAACTGTATTTAAAGGGCCAGAAGGTTGAGAACCACTGCTTCAGAGCCCTCTGGGCCTTGGCCTCCTGTGTGCTGCCTTCCCACCCGCCACCAGAGGAAGGGACCCCATGTCCTGAAGGCCTTTCATAGCATGTACGCACTCCTGCTGTGCATAGTTCACTCTCAATCGTAATTGTACCTCGTGTTTGCCTTTCCTCTTTGACCATAAGCTCCTTTTGGAGGACTCATACATTTCAGGTGGTCTTTCCCGGGCATAGGGTAGGTGGCTCATGTCATCTCCCCAGGACCCTGCCAGAGGAAATGGCCACAGTCCTCCATTTTCTTTTTCTTTTCTATATATTTTACTGATTTTTTTACAGAGAGGAAGGGAGAGGGATAGTTAGAAACATCCATCAGTTGCCTCCTGCACACCCCCTACTGGGGATGTGCCCGCAACCAAGGTACATGCCCTTGACCAGAATCAAACCTGGGACCCTTCAGTCCGCAGGCCGACACTCTATCCACTGAGCCAAACCGGTTAGGGCACAGCTCTCTATTTTCACTCCTGCTTATCTATGGTACCAGCCTGAGTCCTTGGGAGCCAACCTTTAAGAGGCAGACTTGGTTCCTGGTGCTTTTACCCTCCCCTGGCCCAGCCACTGTCCGCCCTCCCGCCCCCCCGCCCAACTCTAAGTTAGCCCCCCCTTTCAACCCAGCTCCAGGAGGGGAAACCAGTTTGGGAAGTAGGCGGTTATTAGAGTAAACAAACAAAAAGTGGGAATGGCTGCCTGGCAACCTTTATAGGAATCCTTTTCAGATTATAGTCACAGCAAACAATGGGCTATTTACTAGCTCTTCTGAGCTGTAAATTAGGGGAGGAAATTGTTATCTACCCCACCCCTGAGGGTAGGCAGGCCTAGGGCACTAGCAGATCTCCTGGGGAAGGGGCCTGCCTCTTCCTTAGCCAGCAGCAGGGAAATGAAAGGCGTACACATTCTGTGCATCTACCTCCCACCATCTGTGCAAAAGCTGCCACTACAAAGAGGACTTCTCATTTCGGGTGTTGGCTTTATCAGACCTGTTCCAGCATTTAGTGACTTTTTCCATTCAAGTGGCCCCTATTTGCTTCCCTCAGAGCTTCTTTCTCATAGTTGTCCATGGTCTGATCCAGCTCATTAGCGGACAAGTTATTACTGAAAAGAAGTCTATCGATAGCCAGGCAGGAAATGAGCTTGAATCCCACAAACCCTACTGACATACTCTCTCCATTAAAAAAAAAATCCTATTCTAACATGGCAATGCATTGCTAGAACCAGTTTGGCAAATTAAGTTTAATATACAGATACAAAACAACAAATATAGATTCACAGCATTTACAAGAAATCATTCAATAACATTGTAAATAAATTTTTCTTTTTTTACAAAAACTTCATTCAACAAAAATACATATCAAGTTACAGCAACCTGTACACATCTTTCAGCTGTCAATAGCAAAGTCATCAGTTTGGAAGCTGTCACAACTTATACAGATAATGTCATCTTGACATTGATGAGTTAACATGAAAAGGTTACCCAAAGCTTGGCAAAGTAGCTAAGTCAAACATGAATAATGCTAATACTTAAAAAATGACCAATTATGAAATCACAGAATCAATTCAAGTATTTTCTAAATACAAATGTTGATACCTATGGAATAACTAAAGACGATATTGCTACATGTGTTGTAGCTCAGTACGTCTGCATCAAATATTTAAGCTTTTTGGTTTTTCAAGATCAGATAGTTTTTACTTATTTTTTTCCCCAAAATCTTTTGAATTCCACTTTCACCACATCCATCCAGAGAGCAGCGTTAGCCAGGTGAAAGTCTAACCAGGAGAGCAATCTGTAGGTTACGCTACTACAGGGACAATTGTTTTTGTCGGTCAGACCTTGTTGATTTGTGTCCTGTAGCCTTGGAAGGACATTTATTCACGCCGCTGGTACTGGCCTGGGTGAGACACATCTGTTTCTCTCCTCAACAATTTCCCCCCCAAACTCCAGGTAATCAAGCTGGTTTTAAGTAAGTTGATTTTTATTGAGGAATAACAGCAATTGGGGCACATAAAGATTTCCAACTGGTAAAATATTGCATCACATGGCTTTTACAAAAGAACACGCATGGAGTTAATCTTCATCTAGATTAGGTTTACAAAGACACAACAATATTCAGAACTAGCAGGGAGATGGAAGCAAAATGTTTCCAACTACAAAGTCAGATCTACCAGGTGAAAAAGATCAGAGCTACCGAAAACAAACTGTGCAGATGGTCCCGTGTAAGCGCTGGCCAGCTGCTGCCACTCCTTTTCCAGTTTGCAGGCCAAAGAAGTAGCAAAGAATGCTACTTCTTCAGGGCTTTACAAAAATTCTACTCTGTGAGTCCTTACAGCGACCGCAAGGCTGTGCTAGTTTTAGGCATGATCAACATCGAGAAGGTTGCTCTTGACCCAACTATCTTTCAACAGAGTTAGCAAATTCTGAAATATGAATAATAGTGTAAGTAAAATTCATCAGAATTCTATATCATCGTTTTTTTTGGGGGGGGGGGTAGTTTCACCATATTATGCAATGTAGGGTTAAAAAGAGAGAAAGACAGAGTGAGATTCCCAATGAAATTCATACACACTCCGTATAGAAGACTGCTTTTTCTCTACTTTCTGAGTAGAACAAGAAGGAAGTTTGGCAAACCAAAATTAGAATGCTTGAGCCACCTATTCTTTATAGAACTCAGGCATTTGGTAAAACAACTGAAATTGGACAAACAAACTTAAAGAAGTCAAGGACGTTCTAACATTTAAAATCTATTGTGGCAGTTTTCAAAATCATCAGGATCCACCAGAACAGGTTCTGATTGACCAGGCGATTCTCACAGGTACAGAGCTGACAGGGCTGCTGTGCCGCATGCCCTGGTGCCCGAGCTTCCTGCTCCTGCTAGGAGGCCCGGAGCAGGAGGTGGGACCAGAGCTAGGGCTCAGCTGGGAAACAAACCAGGACTCGTCACAGAATTTAAAGCATTTCTTCATTGCTCATTAATAAACATTAGTAAATGGAAGCCCTCTGAGTGGTTCTTTACTTGCTGAATCCTCATTGGAAATATAACCTAAGCAAGTAACTCTCTTTGCTTCTTTTACATAATTCTTATCACACACACACACACACACACACACACACCACAGCCAGCTGTTTAAAATTGCTGTGTATATGAACAATTTTTTTTAGCACAGAGACCCCTACAGTTATTCTGTAAGGGATCCAGAAAAAGCATATTTAGTATAGTTTATAAAATATATAATTTTGTTAATAAAAATGTCGGTTGTATGAACACAACTAAAATTGAGACATGTACTCAAAACCAAAGCACACATGCACACACATGCTCATGCACGCAGTCACAGCCCCTCCTGAGATGCTACCTCACAAACGCAGCCTCACAAATGCAGCTTCTATCCTGAGACACTCCCTATGAAGGTCCAAGGAAGTGGCCCAGGGACGTTGGCCATGGGGCAGCACCACCTACTGCCTTCTCCAGCAATACTGCCTAGAAGTGAGCACACGGAGGTGCAGAGCAGGCTCAAGAACAGGTAAGATTCTGATTAGCATACTAAAATACTCTCTAGGCCCATCCATGCTGTTGCAAATAGTAAGAGTTCTTTCTTTTTTATAGCTTCATAGTATTCCATTGTGTAAATGTATACAAAGCAAAATAAGCCAGTCAGAGAAAGATAAGTATCACATGATCTCACTTTTATGTGGAATCTAACGAACAAAATAAACTGATGAACAAAATAGATCCAGAGACATAGAAGCATGGAACCAACTGTTGAACCTCAGAAGGAAGGCAGGGGAGGGTGCTTGGGGGGTAAGAGGTCAACGGAAGACCTTGTATGCATATATGCATAACCCATGGACACAGACAATAGGGTGGTGAAGGCCTGGGGTGGGGGCTGGGGGTCAATGGGGTAAAAAGGGGACATATGTAATACTTTCAACAATAAAGAGTTATAAAAAAACAAAAGAAAAACACACAAATATCCCCTGCAACCTGCAGCCTGGGTACCAATGAGTGGTGGCAAGTCTCCTGAAATTTGATCAAACAAAAACTCTTGGCCTAAATTATTTTCTATCATTTATATTTGTATGTTTTTCCTGCCTAATGCCCCCATAGTAAGTACAGAGAGCCCTTCCTCAATACAGAAGT